TGAAGATTCTGGCGCATCAGGTCCTGCTTGCAAGGGTTGAGAGCTTTCCCGCAGATCCCAAAGATTCACTATGTAGTTGCTCGGCGTTCGCAGCCCAGTGCTCCTTCCTCTATCTTACTTTCTCCTGTTTTTAGCTATGTAATAGTGGTGTAGACTCTTTCATACTTATAGTGTTCATGATAAATGCTCATGACTGGTGACAGCCCGATGTTGGGCGATGTCTTTTTCCGCAAACTGTATTATTTTCCTTACTTTGTGATTTATTATTATGATTAAGACTTAGTTCTATTATTTAATTGCTTAAAAACGAGTTGGGAATGTGCCGGTTGGCCTTGTCTTCACGAGAGGCGCCATCATGACCGGGTCCGGGTTTAGGGTAGTGACAGAGTAAATAAGAGTTATGGTCTTATTTTCTATGTGCTAGTATTGAGTATGACATATAGGTGTGGTGACGAGTATCTATACGTTGGTGTCAAACATGCTCGTGAGTCTTATATCATGATTTTTGTGACTCTATTATGTATCGATCGTGCTCAAATTGATGATTATCATTGTTGAACAAAGCTTATGAAATTTTCTTGATAATTGACTATTGTTGAGTATTGGCTCAAGTTGAGTTTCATTTTGTAAAGTAACTGAAAACGAGTTTGGTTATAGCTAAATCCCTTGCCGGAATGTTATTGTTGATTCCCTTTTCGGGATGTATTGTTTCTATTATTTGAGTGAGGAAGAGTGTAAAGTACGAAGGGTGATGTCGTGCATGATATTGTGAGTGAGTGTTAATGCGCGAAGGGTGATGTCGTGCCAATATTGTGAGGAATAATGCACGAAGGGTGATGCAGTGCCATGATTATGAGAGGTAATGCACAAAGGGGGATGCCGTTACATTTTTGTTGTTTCATATGGTGAGGATGAGAGTAAAAACATGAAGGGTAATGCTATGCATGTGTTACCGTTTCATTATTCTTGATGATATGGATATGATGTTCATTATGCTTCTTTATTGGCTTATTGTTAGAATATGATATTCCCCACAGCATGTCCCCTTCCCACCTTCTTCTATTGATTCCTGTTATTATGATTCTGTTTATATATGATTTAACTACACATGTATATGTGATTGTCGTGTTGTAGCCTCGTCACTACTTCTCCAAGGTTAGGCTCGACACTTACTCAGTACATAGGGTTGGTTGTACTGATGCTACACTCTACACTCTTTTGTGCATATTTCGGTACCAGACCCGGTGAGTAGCTGAGGTAAATGCCTTCAATCTGGGGAGACCAAGGTAAATCTGCTGGCGTCCGCAGAGCCTTAAGCCCCCTTCCCTGTTTTAGCTTTCTGCTGTCTCTTTCATTCCGAGAACAATTGTACTTTTCTTTCAAGACTTGTGTTTGTAGTAAAAATCTTAGTTGTTCATGAAGTTATGACACCAGATCTGTGGGTAGACATGTATTGGATTATTTGATCATGCTATAACTCTTCTACAATTATCATCTGTTTAACTTTAGTTATTATATATATTTGTTGGGGTTGATTCTAATGGGTTAAAACCTTAATAGTTGGCTTACCTAGCTTTCACGAGTAGGCGCTATCACGAATCATAAGGGTGGAAATCCAGGTCGTGATAGGGATTTTGTAAATTGAGATTTAGACCTCAAACCGAGGTCGAATTTTGAAACAAACCACATAACCAGGCTAGGGGTGAATGGATAATCGGGTTTTTGTCCGAATCTCGGGTTTTGACCAAGTAGTAACAGGGTTCACTTTTGTTGACTTTTTCAAAAAACGATCAAAATTGAACCACTTTCATTAATGGGTAGTTTCTAAAGCTTATTTTGAATCATCTGGTCGATAATTTGCAAGATTTGGTTGGTTTGGAGGCTTGTTCAAAAGGCAAGGACATGGTTGATTGATTACTTGAGTTGAAGAGTGAGGTAAGTGTTGGGTGTAACCTTGATTTGAGGGAATTAGGGAACCTTGAACTACGTGATATTGAATTTTTTGGGAAATATCGTATATGCAAGGTGACGAGTGTATATACGTCGTCATGATACTTGCTTCCATGTCTTCATTATTTCATAATATATCTTGTTTCATGCCTTAATTGCTACATACTTTATTGACTTCTATGTTATAATTGTTACTTGTCATTTAGTTATTCTTGTATTAAATTGTCCGTCCCTTCCATGACTCCATTCTTATTTGCTACTTGCCTTTACTTGTTCTACTTGCATATATAAATTGTCATACATCTTACTTGACTTATAGTTTTGTAATATTTGTTGCCTTCTATAATGCGGTTTTACTGGTATGAGTTATTTAATTAATGGATACCGATGAGTTGGTAAAATTTAGACATTCGAGTTATTAGAGATTCTTTGATTATTATGTGATTCTTCATTGCTTCATACATTTACTCTCTTGATGTAGAAATTCTTGTAAATCTTGGTTGTTGAATTGCTATTGTTGATTGAAATTGTTTGGGGAGTAGGTTGCACGGTGCAACGGAAATTGAAAGGTAATGAATTGAAATGGAGGAATAAGGACGGATTATGATAATGACAGAGGATGATATGGTGGGATTGGGTTGTGTGCTGCAACGGATTGTATATTTGGTATTTGTTTGTGATTTTTAGATTTGCCTCGGTATTTTGAGATAAGTTATGAGACTTGTTATTCCGGGCTCTCTGGAAGTTGGATTTCGAGTTTGTTTTTATGAGTTAACTGCTTTACTTCCATTTCATGTTTTTCCTGTTATTATTATTATTATTGCATACAAGTTATTATAAGTGACTCCCCTTAGCCTCGTCACTACTTCGTCGAGGTTAGGCTTGGTACCTATAGAGTACATGGGATTGGTTGTACTCATACTACACTCTGTACTTCTTGTACTGATACCGGAGTGGGTTCCCAACAATGTTGAGTGAGATTGCCCGGATCTACCTTTCAATGGAGACTTGAGGTATAGCTGCACAACATCTGCAACCCTAAAGTCCCTTTCTATGTCATATTAGCTATTTATTTTGATTGAAATAGTTATATTTTATTAAGACTATTATCTGCAGTACTCTAGCCGCTCATGTATTCGTCACACCAGTTTCTATAATTGTATTTAGATTACGTCATTTACTAGTTTATCACTTTATTTCAGACTATGCAGTTTTATTTTTATCATTTGATTTGAATTGTTAAAAACAATCAATAAATATGGCCAACCTTGGCTTGCCTAATAAGTGAAATGTTAGGATCTATCACGATCCCGATGGTGGGAATTCTAGGTCGTGACAAGTTGGTATCAGAGCACTAGGTTGCCTAGGCCTCACGAGTTATGAGCAAGCTTAGTATATTCTAGAGGATCGGGACGGAGACGTCTGTACTTATCTTTCAAAGGCTATAAGGCTTTCGAAAAATTTCACTTATTTCTTTCTCTATTGTGCTGTTTATTTCCATTCTGAAGTTTGAACTATTCTACTATTTGTCTCTCGCAGATGGTAAGAACTCGCACAACGTCTATAGCCAGGAAAGAGCCAGAGCCCCATATTGCAGCCACTACTAGGGGTAGGGGCTGAGGCAAAGGTAGAGTCCAGCCTAGAGGAGTAGGTCCCAGTTGAAACTGCACTAGTTGGACCTGCTCAGGTCGCAGAGGGATTCATTTCCACTCCCCTACTTCAGGATGCTCTAGTCCGCTTAGTTGGACTCGTAGAAAGTATGGCTCAGACCACAGTATTTCTTATGGCTCCAGCCGTCTCTCAAGATGGGGGAGGAGCACAGACTCCTGCCATCCACACTCTGGAGTAGATGGCTCCCCTATATCAGACTCTGGTAGCTCTAACAGTTGGGGTAGTTCAGCCCGTAGTTGCTACACAGCCCGTGGAGAGGCCCGCAATGTCGTCTGAAGATAGATGAGGTTAGATAAGTTCACCAAGCTCTTTCATGTTTATTATAGCAGTGCACCATCTGAGGACCAATAAGATTACATGGATAGTTGAAACGAGGTATTACACAACATGGGTATTGTTGAGACTAATAAGGTCGACTTTGCAGTGTTCTAGATGACCGGTTCTGCCAAGAGGTGGTGGCAAGATTTTGAGCGGAGCAGACCAACTATTTCACCTTCACTTATTTGGGATCAGTTTTCGCAGCTATTTCGGGAGAAGTTTATTCATTTCACTCTAAGAGAGGAGTACTGTAGCCAGTTTGAGTGCCTTCAGTAGGGTGGCATTACTGTCACCCAATATGAGACCAGATTTGTGTACCTGGCCCATCATGTAGCTATGTTGACTACCACAGATAGTGCCTTCAGTAGGGTGGCATGACTATCACCCAATATGAGACCAGATTTGTTGACTTGGACCGTCATGCAGCTATGTTGACTCCCATAGATAGAGAGAGGGTGAGAAGGTGTATTGATGGTCTTACCTTCGGCATCAGGCTTCAGATGACCAATGAGACGGGGGATGATATTTCTTTCTAGAGGGCCGTAGAGATTGCTAGACGGATCAAGATGGTTATTGGTTAGGATAAAGGTTCGACATCTGAGAAGAGGCCCCGTCATTTTGGTGGCTTTAGTGGTGCCTCATCTAGAGGAAGAGGTTCTTTTGATAGAGGATATCCTTCTATGCGGATTCAGTCAGCTCTGCAGGTAGCCCACAATGCTTCGAGCGGTCATGGTTCTTATGGGTCTCATCCTGAGCAGCTAGCATTTAGTGAACCGCCGCTTCAGAGTTACTACAGTGTATATCCAGGCCATTAAGGTCAGTCTCAACTTTAGTAGCCTCAATAGTCGAGGGAGAGCTTTGAGTGTGGGGGCATGGTCACATTAGGAGGTATCGCCCTAGATTGATGAACACTAGACCTCAGCAAGGTTCTCTTGCCATTATACCGGCATTGGTTGCTCCACTGCCCGCATAATAGCTAGAGGCGGGGGTTAGGTTGTTAGAGATAGAGGTCATTCCATTAGAGGTAGACGTTAGCCAGTTAGGGGTCGCTCAAGGGGTAGATGTCAGAGTGGTGGGGCCTAGCCCATTTTCATACATTTCCAGTTAGACTTGAGGTCGAGTCATCTGATGCCATCATCACAGGTCTTGTTCTAGTTTGCCATAGAGATGCTTCAATTCTATTTGATCTAGGTTCTATTTATTCTTACGTGTCATCCTATTTTGCTTCACAACTGATTGTGCATCGTGATTCTTTGAATGCTCTAGTATATGTGTCCACACCAATGGGAGATTCTATTATTGTAGATCGTTTTTACCGCTCGTGTGTGGTTTCTACTGGGAGCCTTGAGACTAGTGTATATCTCCGACTTCTTGATATGATGGATTTGATATTATTTTGGGCATGTATTGGTTGTCACCGTATCATGCTATATTGGACTAACACGCAAAGATGGTGACCTTAGCCATGTTGGGGTGTCCCAATTAGAGTGGAGGGGGACTCCTGGCCATTCTACTAGCAAGGTTATTTTTTATGTGAAGGCCCGACATATGGTCGAGAAGGGGAGTCTAGCCTATTTGGCTTATGCTCGTGATTCTAGTGCGGAAGTTCCTTCCATGGATTCAGTACTAGTTGTGCATGAGTTTCCAGAGGTGTTTCTTATAGATTTGTCGGGGATGTCACCCAATAGAGATATTGATTTTCGTATTGACTTGGCTCCGGGAACTCAGCCCATTTTTATTCCACCATACCATATGGCACTACTTGAGTTGAAGGAACTAAAGGAGCAGTTGCAAAATTTGCTTGATAAGGGATGTTTGTGAAGAAGAAGGAAGGTTTGATGAGGATGTGTACAGATTATCGGTAGTTGAACAAAGTCACCATCAAGAACAAGTATCCATTGCCGAGGATTGATGACTTATTTTGTTAGCTTCATGGTGCCAAAGTATTTTCGAAGATTGAGTTTAGATTTGGCTACCATCTGTTGAAGATTAGGGCATCAGATGTCCCTATAATAGTTTTTGGACTCGATATGGCCATTATGAATTCCTAGTGATGTCATTTGGCTTGAAAAATGCCCTGGCAGCATTTATGGATTTGATGAATCAGGTATTCAAGTCATATTTGGATTCTTTTGTGATCATCTTCATTGATGATATTTTGATCTCTACCGCAGTCAAGAAGAGCATGAGCAATATCTTCGGGTGGTACTTCAGACCTTGAGAGATAGTCGATTGTGCACCATGTTTTCAAATTGTGAGTTTTGGTGGGACTCAGTTGCCATTTTGGGACATGTTGTATCTACCGAGGGCATTAAATTGGATCCTAAGAAGAATGAGGCAGTTCAGAACTGGCCTAGACCTACTTCAGCTAGAGAGATTCTGAGCTTCCTATATTTGGCGGGTTATTATCGCAGGTTCGTGGAGGGATTTTCATCCATCGCAGCCCTGTTGACTAGATTGACCCAGAAGGGTGCCCCATTCAGGTGGTCTGATGAGTGTGAGTTGAGCTTTCAAAAGCTCAAGACTGCCTTGATTACAGCTTTGGTGTTGGTATTACCCACCGGTTCGGGATCCTATACTGTGTATTGCGATGCATCTTGTATTGGGCTTGGTGCAGTATTCATGAAGGATGGCAGGATGATTGCATATGCATCTCGGCAGTAGAATATTCATGTGAAGAATTACACTATTAATGACTTAGAGTTGGCAGCGATTGTTCATGCATTGAAGATTTGGAGGCATTACCTCTACGCCATGTCGTGTGAGGTATTCATAGATCATCAGAGTCTACAATACTTGTTTAAGCAAAAAGATCTCAACTTGAGGTAGCGGAGGTGGTTAGAGTTATTAAAAGACTATGATGTCATGATTTTCGTCACTAAACCAATTTCCCCACCATAGGATGTCGTGATGACACCGAGTCTCTATGACCAGGTAAGCCTAAAAATTAATAATAACTGAGCAAATATAATTAACAAGTTACTGAAAACAATTGAATAATTGATAAAAACCTTCCAAAAATAGAATCTCACAATACACACCCCAAAAGCGGTGGAACTGAGTCATGAGCTCTATAGAGTAAGAATTAAGATAGCTATTACATCAATGTCTGAAAGAACTACAACAGTAAATAGAATAAATGGGAAGGTGATTCCGAGGTTTGCGAATGTGGAGTAGGTATATCTTGAAGTCACCCAATTAGCAACTCTATCAACTCTAGCGTCCGGAACGGGCAGACGTACCTAGATCTGCACAAAAAAATATGTAGAAGCGTAGTATGAGTACACCACAACGGTACCTAGTAAGTATCTAGCCTAACCTCAGTAGAGTAGTGATGAGGCAAGGTCAAGACACCTACTAGGATATAAAATAGATAGTATGAAAATGTAATACGGATATGTAATGACAAGTGAAGAAATAACTGATACGAAACAAGATAATAGCATGAACTAGTACCATAAATCAATAATAGAAATAGCATAAAAGAAAAAACTAAAGGGGCTACAATGATCATGTACGGAAAACAACTAATAAATAATAAAGAATGAAACAACAAGATATGTTCCCCACCAAAACACTTTGCAACACTAGATAAACAATAAGAATCACATCGAGGTACTACGTCGTGTATAATGAAATCAGAACCGAAGTATTGCCTCGTATAATTAAGAATCACAACCGAGGTACCGCCTCGTATTCACATTTCTCAATTTCAATCACAATCTTTCCTTATGCTGCCGTGTGAGCCTTACATTTGAAATTGGTTTTGAAAACAGTTTTCCCGAAATAGCTACATGCATTTTAGCCCAACCTTATGACGCTGCGTGGCTTCACGTAGTTCCTCTACAAGCAACACACACATAAGTCTCTCCTTATACCACCACATGCACATCAACCCCAAACCTTATACCACCGCATGTGCGTCAATATCATATCACAATAGCAATTCGCACCACAAGTGCCCTTATATCACAACTTGCCAACAACAACAATATTAATGTTTCCACAACAATAGCCTATGGCTCTACCACGTATACAAAATTTTCCACAACAATAATGAATGAAAAATGCTCAACAAGATAGATGTTTCAACAACAACCAACATCGCCTCAACGTATTAATGACTTTCACTACTTCAACACCAAATAACTCAGCAATGGGAGAAATAATGCATAACCACGACATTAGATAAGACTAACTCACAATAAAAGAACATTTTAATAATGAGTTTCAAAAAATGGAAATCAACAACTAAAGTGATAACATGAACAAATAGTTCAAATAACGAAAATCAATAAGGAAAGAGGTAACACGAACAATGACTTCAAATAATGATAATTAACAATGAAGAGATAACATGCAGCAATAAAAAGGCAACAAGTTTAACTAAAGCATGTGAGAAATTTGGCATGTAGGATGTAGAACATTTACTAAACAAGTAAATTAAGGCATGTAAGAATAATCTAACACAATTAAGGATAAATTGACTATGAGAATTAAGAACATGATATGGAATTTGAATTAAAGCATGGAAATACTCTAAGTAGCCTAAATCGGTCAAATACCACGTAGAACCTGTGTACTCACTTGTGGCCTTGCATACACGGATTTCACTTAGAACCATTGAATCAAACTATATCACCTAATGGATAGTTCCCCCACACAAAGTTAGGCATGACACTTACCTCAATTAGGCGAATTCAATACTCGAAAATAGCTTTTCCCTTAAAATCCACCTCCGCACGGCTCAATTCTAACCAAAATTGACTCAATATCATCAAACAATGCTAGGGAATTCAATTACAATAGATAAAATTAAGATTTATACACTTTTTCCAAAAAGTCAACAAAAGTCAACCAGGGTTTCGCTCGATCAAAACCCGGGTCCAATGGTAGATTTTGTCTACCCATGACCCCATGAGTTCATATATGTGATTAGTTTCAAATCCGAGTCCAAATCGACTCTCAAAACTAAAATATTTTAATTCTCAAAAACTTGACGTCACTTTGTTTCACATGATTTTGAAGTTAAAATCTAAGATATGTTGATAGAATATGATTAGAAATATATTAGAATCACTTACCCCAAGGTTTGTAGGTGAAAATCCCTTCTCTAAATTGCCTCCTACCGTGTCTAGGGTTCAAAAACAAGAAAATAAATTCAAAAATCCTGTCTCCCAACCCTTTTACCAGCTGTAGATGTTGCATTTGTGACACATGGTTCACATTTGGGAACCCTTCGTAATTGCGGACCAGGGCACGCATTTGCCAATCCTAACTTCGTTTTACTTCATCGCAATTGCGAGAAAGGCTTCGAAATTGCGAAGCGAAATTATCGCAAATGCGAACAAATGTTCGCAATTGGGAACTCTGCCCAGATTTTGCTTCCTTCACAAATGCGAGTGGGAGGTCGCATTTGCGACATTAGCCCCGTACTGTAGCCTCTCCTGAACATGTCTGAAACTCATCCGAGCCCTTGGGGCTCCAAACGAAACATCCACACAAGTTTAAAAACATCATACGAACTGACTCGCATGATCAAAACATGAAAATAACATCTAAAACTACGAATTGAACCAAAAAATGCATGAAATTTCAAGAAATTTTCAAGAACTTCTAGAATTACATCTAAACGTCCGAATCTCATCAAATAAACTCCAAACGACACCAAATTTTTCAAACAAGTTCTAAATTCCATAACAGACCTATTGCAAGTCCCAAAATTCAATTTCCAAGCTCGATAGCTAAAAGTCAACCTACGGTGAAACTTTCCAACTTCAAATTGCCAAATTTTGGTAAATCAACATAAATCAACCTACGGAATTCCAAAATCGATTCCAGGCATACGCCAAAGTCTAAAATCATGATACAAAGCTATTAGAGCCATAAAAATATTTGTCAACATTTTCTAATTTAATTTCTAAGTCAAGAATCAAAGCTCTAAATCCACCCGAATGCTTCCCGAAACGAAACTAACCGACCCGACAAGTTATAAAATCATAAACACACAAGTGTCAAGTAATAAAAAGGGTAACAAGCCAAAATTACACAAAACAACCAATCAGGTCCTTACATTCTCCCCCTCTTAAAGTAAATGTTCATCCTTGAACGAGCATAAGGACATACCTGAAGTGGTGAATAGATGAGAATAACGAATCCGCTTGTCATGCTCGGTTTCCAAGGTTGCCTTCTCGACCGGATGACCCCTCTATTGAACCTTCACTGAAGCAATATCCTTTGATCTCAACATCCATACTTGTCGATCCAAGATAGCCACATGTTCTTCAATATAAGTCAAATCCTTGTCTAATTGGACAGTGCTAAAGTCTAAAACATGAGACAAATCACCATAATACTTCCGGAGTATAGAGACATGGAACACCAGATGAACCGCAGATAAACGAGGTGGAAAGGCAATCTTGTAGGCCACCTCTCCAATCCTCTCAAGGAACTCAAAAGGTCCGATATACCTAGGGCTCAACTTGCCCTTCTTCCCGAACCTCATCACACCCTTCATGGGTGAAACTCGGAGCAAGACTCGCTCTCTAACCATGAATGTGACGAGCGCAAAACACTAAAATATGCTCGCTAATTGAATATAGTAAGTTATAATATCATATCCACGGGGATTGGAGTTAAACAGTAGTATCATAGTTTGTAGCTAGATTTCTATCCAAGATAATCAACAATTTAGAGTTTTGTGTTTAATACTAAAATTAACTAAGAATCTAAACTATTGGCTAAAGTAGGGGTTGATAGGATAGGTGCATGACAAATGTTGGGATTTAACTCTAGATAATTCACTTCTAATGTTCAAGTGAGTCTCTCGAATTTACTTGGTTATTAGTTCAATTAATTAGTAGAAACTTCCCTCTCGATTAAGTCTCAACATCACAAGATGAACCAATTTTAAGCATTTGAAGATATGCACGAATTCGTAGTGGATTGGTTTGTAGGAGAACCTCTTTAGATAATCCTCCTAACTTAGTTTAATCGACAGTTCAACTAGCCTCTTTCGATTATGAAGAAGAATTGATAAATTCAACCAACACACTATAATGCTAGGATATTACAAGTTATGCCTCTCTCGATTACATGAACTAAAAAATATAGATGCAATGATTAATAACATCCAAAACTATTCTATACATAAAAGCTAGAGTTAATTATCCACAAAAAGTATCAATACACCAAATCCATCAAAACCCTAAAGAGAACTACTCCATGAATATAGAATAATTCATCAATACAATGTTTAAGGTAAAGAAAAACATAAAACAATCCAAACCCTTGTCTTGAGTTGAGATTGAATGATGGATTCCTTGTTCTCTTGCTTCTCCAACTTCTCCTTAGCCTCCTTATGTCTTAGATATATTAAAAGTCCCAAAATACTATTTTTCCATGTATATATACCAAGTAGGGTTGGGTCCAAGCAAAAACACCTTCTCATACGGGAAATCAGATACTTTTCCAGAGTTGGACGTGCGCGGCCGCACGCCTAGAACTATGCTCGCGCACTTGGTCATGCATTTTTCACACTGTTCTACCCCACATGTGCGCCCAGTGGGCGCTCACGCACATGGGTGAAATTCTGCTCGATTCTTCTTTTCATTCTTTAAGTGTACAATTACCCGTTGATCCCCGAACACAATCCCAACTTAATTCCTTGGTATTTTACTTAGACTTTAAAGCTCCAAATAACTCAAATTCATTCCATATCGTCTACATAGCTCGGAATCACTCTTAAAGGCATAAACACACAACTGATTAAAGCTCAAACTCAAATAAAGTGCAGTAAATTAGAGTGCAATAAGCGACTAAACACAAGATTATAGCCTACCATCAGAATGCAACATCACGCACCTTCTGATCTACATAAATCTTCTGTCAAGATCAGACTGTACGACGCCGATCCTGAATCATCTTGATCTTCTCCAAAGCATCTCGAACCAAATCTGTGCATAATAACTTAGCCGCTTCTGGCTCAAACAACCCAACTGGAGAACGACACTGTCTCCCATATAAAGCCTTATATAGAGCCATCTGAATAGTCGCCGGAGCTGTCACACCTCCCTTTTCCTACCCCCTGAAGGGTATAAGAGAGTTTTTCCCAATTTAAGTGACAATCGAAACAGGATTTATTTTATTAAAAATTCAGAGTCGCCACTTGGGATGATTTATGGTGTCCCAAGTCACCGGTTTTAAATCCCGAAACAAGGAAAGATTGCCTCTATTTTACAGTCCGCGAACAGAGAAATTTGGGTAAGGAATTCTGTTAACTCGGGAGAAGGTGTTAGGCATTCCTGAGTTCCGTAGTTTTAGCACGGTCGCTCAACTGTTATTATTGGCTTATTATCTGATTTTAATACATGTTTTAGCCTATGACATATTTTAACTTTATAACCGCTTTATTTATTTTTAGGAGAATTGCAATGTCATTTAAAATATGTCTTGAACCACGTCACATAAATGCATCCGCGGCTCTTGACATATTTTATCTAACATTGTTAGGATTTGGATTTGGGTCACATAAATGCACACCCGAGTTTAGGAAGGTAAATTATTAAAATAACGCGCCTAAAGCAACTACGCGTTTGCAACTTTGCGAGGGCCATGAAAATTTGCTAAATGGCACACCTCGATTTCTAAGGATAAACAAGATTAATTAAATGAGGGCCGTGCAATTGAGATTTTGTTCGGCACGGCACACCTCGATTCCAATTTTAAAGAGAATTCAAATTAAACTCGGTGGGCCATAAGCTATTTTTATTTAATATGGAACGCCCCGAAACTAAATTAATCCTAGTGTTTCTAGCCCATTTTTTAAGTCTAGTATTTATGTTAACTAAATGGGAAACCTTGTGTAGAAGAGAATAAAATAGAAGGAAACAGATTCGTTTGTTAACTGGGTCGTGCCATTTCAACTATGCGGAGGAGATCTGAAGCAGGCAGGTCTAGTTTCTATTTGGAAGCACTTATGTGTCCACATATACAAGAAGTAATGGGCTCATGGAAAGCCCACACCAAATAAAACAACACTTTAGCAACTAGGCCTGAAATTGCAACGCAGTAACATGGACTAAAGCTAATGAATGGTGCAACTATATTTCCTCATGGAATTCTGAAAAATTAAAGTGATTACTTGACACACTTACATATTTAAACAAATGCAGTGCACATTCATGGTGTTAAATTTGGTTTCTAGATTAAATATAGCACTGATGCTACGACCCTTCTCACACAATAAACCTATCTCTTGAAGTCTAGCAAAATCCATAGTAGTAAACATAATTACCAAATAAGAAAAAAACACAGTCCTGATTTCATACTTAACCATGTTACTTTACCAAATTCAAACCATCCCCTCAAAAAACAACATTGACTCTCATAACTTGAGATAGATATGAAGCAAACATATGTAGCCTACACCGAACTTCTATTACAATGAACGCATGACACATATATGTCAGAATAACTATTTCAACAACTTTGCAATCCATACGCTCAAAACTTCAATTTACTTGAATCCAACTTCATATTCATACAATCCAAGAATCAAACCAACAAGCACACATAGATTCACTCTACAAGATTTTAACAACATAAGAAAGAGCTGGGCTATCATGCAGAATTTAGGTTTTACATACGTAACAATACAGAAATAAAAAAACAACAGATGAAATAGATTTGAGATACAACTTGTATCCAAAGTGTTTCACATTCAAAGCGCAGATTCGCATGTTTACATGTTGTATATGGTTCCAAAAGGTACCTGGAAAGTAAAGAAAGTGAGAAGAATGAGGGGCCAGCAGCAGCAAATAGTATCAGTAGTAATGCAACAGTGTTAACAGCTTAAATGAACCCAGACTTCCAAAGAAAAACCAGCTCCAAGCGACTCAAATCAGACCTCTAACCCTCATTCAAGCCATTTCTTCACCCAGGTACAACTTTGGAATTTTTCACAAAATTTTAACTTATCAAAAGATTCAGAGAACTAAAAACCAAAATCAAAACTAGTTCAATCAATTTTCAGCATTTTTTCGGAATTTCAGAAAGAGTTCAGTTGCTTTTAAAACTCAGTCTTTTATTTTAGCTTTTTCAGTCAGCCGTTCTTGAATTCTTCCAGAACCTTTTCCTCCTAATCTCTGTCTTGAATGCCAAGTTAAAGAGCCTTTATAGGCAAGGCATTTAGGGCAGCTTCAAAGTATCAGTTTTGCACCTTGCCCCTTTCAATATTTTCAATGTAGCTTTGCAAACCTTAGTCAATTTCTGGTTTTGCTTAACTACCCTTAGTTCAAATGTCAGAATTCAGAATAGTCCCCCTCCCCAGCTTTCTAGAAGCTTCCTATTCAGTTACACAATATTCTCCTAGCCTAGAATTCCGAAATTGCCCCCATGAGCCCCTGTTATCACCCCTGAAACCAAAACTAATATAGGTCAAAGTTGACCCTAGGTTGAATTAATTCAAAACCCAGCCCAAACCATGAGCCTGTACTAACAGCCCACTCTGATCTTAATAGAAATCTTCCAAACAAACCAACCCCTTGAAACTCAGCAGAAAACAAAAGTTCACTTAGAGATGCTCGGAAAGCAGTTATTTAGCTATTAAGACGACTGATTAATCACATTATACCCAGGATATTGATATGCTAACCCGTTTGATTGAACTTAAAAATAAACTTAAACTAAAGAGGAATAAGGCTCAGAACAATGGCTTTAAACATTAACACGAAAAAAAAAAAGAAACAAAAGAAGGCCGGTTCAAACATGAAGCAGACGACAGAGACGAAAGAACAAAGAACAAATACCTCGATGGCCATACGGACAGGTCTTGACAAACTCAACGATTCTGACTTGACTCGAAACTGGTATTAGCCGTATGTTCCTTTTGAGAACAAATGAGTAATACTCGTTTCAAGCCCAATCGTTCATCAGAACTCGAGGACTTGAGATATTTTCTTCTCCTTCGATTTTAGATTTGAAACAGGTCCGATTTGGTGAGAATTTTGGGAAAAATGGTAATGGATTAGGATGCAGGGAGGGGTGATGGTTTCATGGCGAAATTTTGGTGGTGATTGAAGCTATTTCACCGGCGATAATGATAGACTTGCTTGGAGATGGCGTTATCTGATGAGGGAGGTGAGGGGAGGGTTTGTTTGGTCTTAGGTCTCAATGGGGAATTTCGGACAGTCTTATTCGAGATGGGGGAAGTTTCAAGGCCGTTGGATGAAACGAAATCAACGGTTCAGATAAAGCGATGACAAAACGTCGTCGTTTAGTTTATGCACAGGTTTGGACCAGATTGGGGATGGGTCTAGGCTGGAGTTGGGCGGGTAAGGGACTTTGACAATTGGGCCTGAGGGAAATTTAAATATGGCCCAACCGAATTTCCTTTTTCTATTTCCTTTTCCTTTTCATTTCTCTTTTTTTAATTCCTTCTTTTTTTTTTCAAAATTAAAAGTAAAAACCTGAATTAAAATTAAAAAAAAAATTAACCTATTAAATTGAATTAATTAACTCCAAATAATAATTACCACAAATAATTAAGAACCAGATTAAAGGAAAAACTACCAAAGTTCAAAAATTAAAATTAAAGGTGCAAAAATAACTATTTTTGTGATTTTCCAACTCTTATAAAATAACTAATTTACTACTTAATTCAAAAATATAAAATTAAATCCTAAATGAAGATGCAACATATTTTTTTTGTATTTTTCCAATATTAAGCAAAGTTAATACGCAGACAAAATGCAAACATTTAACGAAAAATGCTACGAAAATCTATGAAATTGCAAATAATTGAAAATTTTATTTTATTTTGAATTTGTGGGAGTAATTCATATAGGACAAAAATCATGTGCTCACAGCTAGTAGCTGTTGTTGTAGGCAAACTCTACAAATGGCAAAAAATGATCCCAAGCACCCCCGAAAATTATAACACAGGCGCGGACCATGTCCTCCAATATTCAACTCAACCCATGTGTCTAGCTTACGATGTATAATCTTCCAGAAACGCGATGTGAACTGTGTACTCCGGTCAGAGATGATGGATACTGGTACACCATGAAGTTGGACAATCTTGCGGATATAAACCTGAGCCTCCTACTCTGAAGAATAGGTAGTCACTACCGGAATGAAATGAGCCGACTTGGTCAACCTGTCCACAATCATCCATATCGCGTCAAACTTCTTCTAAGTCTATGGGAGCCTAACAACAAAGTTCATGGTGACGCCCATTTCTACTCAGGAATCTCAAGCCGTTGAAGCAAACCATCGGGTCACTTGTCACGCCCCAAACTCGGGGAGCGCGACCAGCGCTCAACCGAGTGAACCCGACCGAGCAAGCCTGTTAGATTTTCTTCTACCCAAACTCATCAATGAATAAATAGAAAATATATATCATTAATTAAACATCGAGGGGATTTCATTAACAAACCCAATTTCTATTTCCATTAGCAGCTTCATTCATAATTTCCAAAATAGAACGAGTTTATAGATTTATTGAAAAATATGTTTGACAAACACCAATATTTCTAATTCAATTCCCAAAATCAAATACCACCCACAACCTGTTTACGAAACCTCTAAGTACAACTGAAGAGTAATATGAAAATACTGGCAACAAGGCACCAGCTATACCTCAAAACACAGTACATGAGAAACAAAAGATACATTACCCCGAAATGTAGTAGGGCTCACCAAGTCAGCTGGAAAGAGTGTACCGCTATCACTAATCAATGTACCTGCTGTGAAACCACCTGCATCCATTAAAGATGCAGCGCCATCGACAAAAGGGATGTTAGAACTGTCGAATAACACTAGTATGTAAAGCTAAAAGAGCTCTTCCAAAATATAATGACCATTAAGAATAGGAAAACCATAGAAACAACAAGTCACCATCAATAATATCCAAATGCCCAACCGAAACATAACAATTTTCAAAATAAGAAAATAATATATATTTTTGGTTGGGAGATCTTTATCACATCCTCTCATTTAATTGGCACCACTAGCCACAATTATAACTTAAAATCTTGGCAAGTTTGCCACACTCTATTTTCTCAATTCACTTATTTTATTTTCAAGAATCTTTATAGTTTATCAACAACAAGACATTTTCAATCAAGATTTTAGGTACACATATGAGCAATTTAGAGCCTTAAGCATATCAAACTTTTCTCACCCAATTTGTATACTAGTTTTTATTTAAAACACGACTCAAAGCCATAATATTTCAATACGTAAATCATACTTTGAACATCTACCTTTTGACATAAGGCTCATTCGAAATAATCAAATTTATAGGGGATAACCCGGAATAGAGAAATTAGGAATCTTGAGTCAACCATACTTGAACTTATGGGAACATTATGGAATTCGATTGTAAGAGAGAAAGTTTAGCCAACATACCTTGTATGAGCTTTCTTTTAGTTACTACGACGCCCCAACACTTCTAACAATAACAATCTATAGGAAAATAGTTAAAATTGGTTAATAATTATAAGGATTCCCATGATGTAACTCTCTAAGGAATTTTATCAAACACCTAACATGCAAAATAGATTACAAGGCTCTACAATGGAGATCCTTTCATCCCTCAACCAATTTCAACAAGAATCTACCCAAAATGGTTCATTACTCCACATACTAAAACTTTGTGTCACATGCATGGCCTATTTCCAACCCCACAATATATTTGAACTCATAACCTCTTGTATGAAAGCTTAGAAGTAGGACTTACCCGGAAAGATAATGATCTAGTAATTAGCTTCCTTGATTCTTGAAGGTTGATGAAGATTGGATGATTGGGGTGTTAGGTTTTCTCCTTCTCTCTCTAAAACGCTCTTACCTCTCTCTAAACTCACCAAAAAATCACCCCAAATAAAACCCCAAAGACTATTTATTAAAATGGGGTCGTTTCATTAAAAAATTAGAATTTGCACAGTCGCGGCGCATGGGACGGCGCAGTAGTGTAAAATTCTGCCAGCTTGTTGTCATTTGGTCATAAGTTCTTGTAGGAGTGTCCAAATGACAAATGGTTTGAAGTGTTAGAAACTAGACTAGAGGATCTTTCATTGGTAGGTTGTGCATCACATAAACCCTTATATGTATGTAGATTTGCTCGTCCAAAGTTTGGTCTTGTGCGTACTTCTTTGAAACTTTTTAGTCTATCATGTAATTTTCCAACTTAGCTTAGACTTAGGCCTCTCCTTAGACCCAAATCACATATAATATGCCTCTACACTTACTTTCATATCCAATTGATATCCCTCATATTAATAGTCCTCGTCTGCACACAACATAATATAATTAGCGCACATCAACTTTCTTAATAGCGCTTAAGTACTTCGAAATTTTCCCGGGTGTTATATTCTCCCCCACTTAGGATAATTCGTCCTCGAATGAGAAGTAGAGTCCGCCCCAAACACATAACATAACATATCTCTTCTTTCGCACACCTCAATCTCCTAATTTTTTACTAATCCCCAAATTTTTCAGAAAATTCGGTAGAGTCTCCTTTGAAATTGGGCATATCCACCTACCAGAGAATCACCAAAACTACTTCTAATAACACATCCACAACCCAACAAAGCACCACAATGTATATATTAATAACGAATCTCAGCATTACAACCACTGCATTATCATATTGATATCAGGACATGAACTGCACATTTTTAAATCATAATACCTAGAAAGTAGCTTTCAAATCAAATCCAATTGCTATACAATCAAGCGAAAATATTTTCTTTCCACAACACTTTTGGCCTTCAAGGTGACCTTCTTGACTTACAGACTTCGCCATAACACATTAACGTAGGCAATCTCAACTTCCGGACTTATCTAACAAGGATG